TTTATGACGGGGAAGGCTGCAGGATAGACATACACAGACCAGTTATGGAAACTGCTAAAATTAGGGAGCCGTTTAGGGCGGTAGTTATAGGGGCTAGCGATACATGCAGCTATGCTGATCTACTGCGAGGCATTAGAGCTGACACAGAAGCAAACAAGGGGATATCATAACAAACGCACGAAAAACCAAAGAAGGGGGTGCAGTGCTGCTAGTGAAAGGAAACAGAGAAAAAGCAGAAGAGTTGACAAAACTCATAAGTCAAAAACATGGAAGAATCCTCAACACCAGAATTGAGACGAGAGGGAAAAAATGTTGACAATACACATTAAGCACATGGACGCCCTATCCACCGAAGAAGAAGTCGTGGAAGCTATAAAGACGGTAGCGCCAAATATAAGTTCCTCAGAGATAAGGGTAACTATGAGAAACACTTTGGGGGCACCCAGGCGGCTATCGTAGGGTGTGAGATAGATCTCGGCCAAGAGGTATTAAAAAATGACAGAATCAAAATAGGATCGATTCACTGCGAAGTTAGGCAGGATGTGGAAGTCAAAAGCTGCAACAGGTGCTGGTCACCAGATCACTTCAGCAAGGATTGCACTGGACAAAATAGGAGGAATGCGTGCCTTAAATGTGGACAGGATGGCCACAAAGCTAAAGATTGTCCAAATGAAAAATACTGTCCAGTATGCGTTATCAGTGGACACAGAGCGATGACAGGGGATGTCCAAAATACAGAGTCGCATATAGAAATCAGGCACCCGCAAGGGAAGACCAGTTCAAAACACAATAAAAATGGTCAAAATCCTCCAAGTCAATATAGGCAGAGCTAGGGCAGAGCACGACCTGGTTCAAGCAAAAGCAAAGAAAGAAGGCTTTGACTTGGTGGTTATCTCCGAACCAAATATCAAATTATCGGAGAAGGCAAAGTGCATTTTAGATGTTAGGGGAGACGTCGCTGTACAGGTGATAAACAAAAAAGTGGGTATCAAGAAGCAAGTCGCTGGGATGGCATATATCATAGTCGATCTAGGAGAGTGGGACCTATACGCATGTTATATATCACTAAACATCACGAAGTCTCCTCTTTGGGGATCCCCAGTGGAAGATAGGAGAGGCCAACACCTAGCAGAATGGATTGCCGGAAACAACTTAATTGTGATGAATGACGGGTCGGTCACTTTCCAGAGGGGGACTGCTGTATCCCATATAGATGTCACTATAGCTACACACAAACTAGCAAAAGAAATAAAAGGATGGAAGATCCTAGATGAGCAGGTTTACACTCACCACAAATACATCACCTATGAGGTGGGGCGGAAAGGAAAACGGGAAATACCAAAGGGCCGCAGGAAAATTCTAAATAAGGAAATGTTTACTCAAAGATTGAGGTATAGAATGGCGAAGAGGGTAGATCACACTGTGGAGACTCTCATGCAGGAGCTCAAAGGCGCAGTTAGAGAAAGCACGAGGTATGTTGGCGAAGAAAGAGATAGCGCACCATACTGGTGGAACGCAATAATAGACAGCAAGAGGATCGAGAGTATCAGTGCTAGGAGAAAAAAGACCAGAGCTCTGGGAAAGTCGATGGTAGACGATCAAAGCACAATGGCAGCAAAGACAGAGTGGGATGAAAAGAGAAATGATCTAAAAGACGAAATAAACAAAGCAAAAAAGAAACACTGGAGAAAGTTGTGCGATGAACTAGCCGATAGAATTTTTCTATTTTGTTTTTAGGCTATCATAGGACTTGTGTCCTCAGCCTTTATCAATGTATAATAATAATAATAATAATAATGATATCTGGGGCGAAGGATATAAAATAGCCACAGGAAAATGGGGGAGTAGAGTACCATACCACATGCCACCGGAAGAAAAAGAGAATTGGTGCGAGAAACTTTTCCCAAAACGAGATAGAGGTATAGTAAAAGACGAGCACGAACAAGAGGATGAGCCTGGCCTGGCACCGATCACTTATGAAGAACTGGAAAAGGCTGGAAATAAAATAAAAAACGGCAAAGCAGGAGGGCCAGATGGTATACCACCGAAAGCGCTAAAAATCTGATTAGCAGAATATCCGAAAATCGTCCTAACGGTTCTAAACAGGCTCATGCTGATAAAAAGTTTCCCGGAGGTATGGAAAGAACCTGGGGTGGTTCTCATACCAAAGGGGACGGAGAGAGGAGTAGCAACAGGATACCGACCAGTCAGCCTACTTAGTGTAGTTGGAAAATTATTCGAATCAATTATAAAGATTAGGCTTGAAAAAGAACTAGATGATGGAGAGAGTCTATCACCAAATCAGTACGGCTTCAGGAAAGGGCGTTCTACTGTAATGGCGGTAGAAAAAATGGTGGATTTGGCTCAACACAATGAGGACAAATGGGTCGTAATAGTCTCAATAGACGTAAAGAACGCCTTTAACACGGCACCCTGGGATAAGATATTGGATGAGATAAGAAGGAAAGAGATTACAGCCGGACTCCAATCTATAATAGCTGGCTACTTGAGCAAGAGAACTATCGTCTTTGAAAAGAACAAAAAAAGGGAGGTGAACATGGGTGTGCCACAAGGATCGGTTCTTGGCCCTACATTATGGAACATAATGTATGACATACTAAGGAAGGACCTAGGAAGGGGAGTGGAGACCATAGCTTTCGCGGACGATCTACTTCTAATTGTAAAGGCGGACGATAAAGAAGATCTAGTTCACAGAACCGATATGGCGCTAGAAAAAAACCAGGAGGTGGATGAGAAACCAGGAGGTGGATGAGAAACCAGGAGGTGGATGAGAAACCAGGAGGTGGATGAGAAACCAGGGGCTAGAAGTGGGCTATACAAAAAACGGAGTCAGTAATTCTGAAAGGACTCAGAAACAGGTCGGAAGTCAAATTTCAGCTAGGAGATGAGCAAGTACAATATGCTAAAACCATGAAATATCTTGGAATTATAATAGATAACAGACTCCAGTTTGGCCAGCACATCCAATACGCGGTAGGGAAGGCGGATAGGTCGCTTGCAGCACTGGCGAAAGTAATGCCAAATATAGGTACAGTCAATACTCATATATGGAGCTCCAGTTTGGGGGGGCAGCCCTTAGGATGAAAAAGTATGAGGACCAAATGACGCGAGCCCAAAGAAAGGCACTCCTTAGAGTGATCTGTGGCTAACGCACGATTTCGGCGCGAGCAGCCCAAGTTATAGCGGGGATACCACCTATGAAGATGTTGATGAAGGAAAAGTGCAGGTTGCACATTAGGGAAGACTCAAATACAAACCTGTCGAAAAAGGAAGAAAGGGAGCGAACTATGTTGGAATGGGAGCAAGAATGAAGAAGGATGGAAGGAACCGCAGAGTGGACGAGAAACCTAGTCAGAGATCTAAGGCAGTGGGTAAAATGCAGACATAGAAAGCTGGACTACTTTCTTACCCAAGTTCTGACGGGGCATGGGGCATTCGCAACCTACACGAACAAGATAGGGAAAAAGGACACAAATACATGTATGTATTGTGAAAATGTGGATGGCCCAGGACACACACTGTTTGAATGCCAGATATGAAAAGCCGAAAGAAACGAACTAGCCAGAATGCTCGGAGACACAATTGATGAGCCGAACGTCATTGAGGTGATGCTGGATAGCGAGGAAAAATGGAACGAGGTGCATGGATTTGTAAGAAAGGTGATGAGCGTAAAAGAGAAGGAATAAAGAGAGCTGCAAGCAAATGATTGATTGCAACCTGCCTCCTAGACATTGACGTAGGCTGATAGAGCGATCCCGATGTCTCGGTCAGGGTAAAACGACGAGGAGGGGTTTTTAGTGGGTATTACTAGGAGGCTGGCGGCCGCGAGCCCCACACTACCCCTGCCGAACAACTGCAGCGGGTGTGCGTAAATGCATTTTCCCCTACAACAACAAAAAAAAAAGGTTAGGTTAGGTTAGGTTATGTTATGTTAGGTTAGATTAGGTTAGGTTTTGGGAATTAGACTCCCTGCACATACGCTGTTCCAATGTAAAAGATGGTACGACGAGAGAGGAGGACAAGTTGAAAAAATTGGGAGCATAGAATCGGAAACAATAGTTGGGAAGATGTTAAGTAAAAAAAAACTGGGACAAAGTGGAATCGAGCGTAAGTAACATAATGAGGAGGAAAGAGCAGGAAGACAGAGAAAGAGAAGCAGATGAAAGAGATGAGGAATAAACAAATAGAGACACAAACGACATCATGACGAAATACCCAAACTGGGTGGTCCCACGATGTCACAGAAGGGAGAGGGGTGAGGTTTGGTGCGGTAGGCAGGCATTGCACTACTCTAGCGAGAGATAGAGGCCCTGAGTCCCACACTCTTAGTCGCGATAGATCAACTAAGCGCTGGGGAAGCCATGATGTTCCTCACCCGACAAAAAAAGTTTAGGTTTGGTTTGGTTAGGTTAGATTAGGTTAGGTTAGGTTAGGTTAGGTTAGGTTAGGTTAGGTTAGGTTAGGTTAGGTTAGGTTAGGTTAGGTTAGGTTAGGTTAGGTTAGGTTAGGTTAGGTTAGGTTAGGTTAGGTTAGGTTAGGTTAGGTTAGGTTAGGTTAGGTTAGGTTAGGTTAGGTTAGGTTAGGTTAGGTTAGGTTAGGTTAGGTTAGGTTAGGTTAGGTTAGGTTAGGTTTCCCTCCTAGGGGCTGTAACATCTTACCGTTGGTGGAGGGGTTAAGTAGCTCCCTGTTCTCGAGCCCTCCGGGACGGGAACGGGTAGCGAAACCGAGAAAGAGCTGAAAAAACGGTCGATGGGGCACTGGTGGGGTCACCAATAAATGCCAGTATCAAGAACACCAAGCCCAGCTAACAAAAGCAAACCGACAAGTCCTTACCCAGATAAGGGGGGCGAATGGCGAGATCCCGGCGCCATTAAACGGGGACCCTTCGGCTAAGGGAAGGAAACCCCGACAGAAAACCAAATGAAGATTGATGAAATGTCGAATTTTAAAACATTCTGGAGGGGGGCAAAAGTTCGCTTATGACGAGGGACGATCGTTCCGACCTGGACAAGGCACACTCTAGTGTTCATAGTAAAGATATGGATACAAATACAGATGAGGAAGAAGATATAAAGCGGTTCGAGCAAGAATTGGTGGAAATGCATAGCAGGAGGCTGTCGCTTCGCCGCTCGCCACAAAGGGAGGACGGATTCAGATCTCTGTTTAATATAGAGGTAAAAACCCCGGATGAACAAAATAGAACTGGACAAAAAAGGGTAAGAAGCCCGGAAGAGAAAAAAATGATCGAATACGAAATAATAATGAAGCAGATGGAGGAAATGAATAAAATGGTTAAAAATATATACGACTTGGCAATAGGGAATAACAACACCAAAGTGGAAATAAAAAACGGCGCAAAAGATCTCAAGAGAAAAATGGAACGAATCCAGACTAGAATGATAAGCTTTGAAAAGCAAATAGCTAACGGACACCAAACAAAGGCTAGAAGGAGAGACAACGTATCCCCTCCTAAAAAGGAAACAAAAACATGCGGAACGCAGGTGGACCCGAAGATGATGGAAGAGGAGAGAAAAGAAACTAAAAAAGAAGAAGAAATGTGCCTAGAACAATTAAACAAAAGGGAAGGATGGGAAGGGATGAAAAAAATCCTGGACCTAACATGGCCGGAAGCAGCCTATACCAATACGAAACATGGGAAAGACAAAAAACTGAATGAACCGGGAGACATGGCCATATTAGTGGACCCTAAACAGGAAGTAGAAGTAAACCTAGTGCGAGAGGTCAGTGATAGATTCTCAGACATTCTACCACTAATAAAGAACGGGCTTAAACAGACAGAACAACTGAAAAGAGTCACAGATATGATAGGGGAAAATGGAAAGCGAGAAGAGATCACGAATTTTCTCTGGGTGATCCCCCTAAATGAGAACCATGGGGTGGAAGACACGTATAAAAAAATCGATGAAATAAAAAGAATGATAAATAAAGAAGATGAGAGAAAAATTAATCTGGTGGTATCTGAAAACGTAGGGGATAGATACATAAGAAAATGCACCGAAGAAATCTTTCATGACACCAAATGTATGATTACAATCTGGAGCAAAAATCCCCCCCAAAAAGGGATACCGGACCAAATCACGGGAAAAATAATAATGAGAACGGAAGGCAAAGACTACGCAAATGCGCTAAGAAAAATAAGGGAAACGGTAAACCTGGACCAAATGGGTATAAAGGTTAAGAACATAAGAAAAACGGCACAAGGAGATGTATTCTTGGAAGTATCTGGAGGAAAGGAAAAGGCTAACGCACTAAAAGGGTCCATTGAAAGAGAGTGCGGGGCTAAGGTAGAGATCAAAAAAGACACAAGTATATTCTACATATCGGACATTGAGGCGGGAATATCCTAAGGAGAGATTATTGAGGTCCTAAAAAATAACTCAAGGAAAACGAAAGGGGAGATACAAATAAGCCTGAGAGAAAACCGGTTTGGAAACCAGAACGCCATGGTAACAATGGAAAGCGAGATGGCAGGAGAAATACTAAAGAAACAAACGATAAGGATTGGATCTATGGAATGTAGGGTAAGGGGCAGAATTGCAGTAACCAGGTGCTATAAGTGCCTTGGTTTTGGGCACCGTATGATTGACTGCAGAGGACCGGACAGATCAGACCACTGTCTAAACTGCTACGGAACAGGACACACGGCTAAGGACTGCAAAAATGATAAGTACTGCAGTAATTGCGAAAAAAGGGACACAGAGCCGATCAGATGGCATGTCCTGCATTCAGAGATGTAGTTAACAAAAAATCGAGAGAGCTGGAAGAAGAAAGGAAGGCAAAACGGAGGCCGACCAGAAGAAACACTATGAGAGGGAGCTTGGACCTCAATGAAGTGTTTACAAATTAACATTGAAAGATCGAAGGCGGCACATGACCTACTACTTTCCACGACGAAACAAGAAAAAATTGACCTAGTAATTATAAGCGAACCAAACATCATCCTAGCCAATAAATATGGATATATCATGGACAACGAGAACAAGGTAGCAGTGAGAATAGTTAACAAAAACCTAGGAATTATAATCCACGAGACTGCTGACGGATATATTAAGCTACAGTTCGAGAAATTCCATATTTATGGATGTTACTCCTCCCCAAACATTCCAATTGCCCAATTTCAGGAATTCATAGACGACTTAATGAACGATGTTAAAAACTCCAGAGAGGCCATCATCGCAGGCGACCTAAACGCCAAATCGCCGCTATGGGGATCGCCCGCTACGGACCCAAGAGGAATCCACATTGAAGACTGGGCGGCAGAAATAAACCTACAATGCATGAACACTGGAGAACCAACTTTTGTAAGGGGAGCGAGCAAGACACATATAGACGTTACATTTGCCACAAATAAGACCGCTGCAAAAGTTAAGCCGTGGAAAGTACTGGACATAGAAGTAAACACGTATCACAAGTACATCGCTTTTGAAATAACCAACAAAGAACAAAGACCGCCAAAAAGAAACAAAACGAAAAGATTAAACACAAATATGCTAACAAAAAACGTAGAAAATCAATTGAAATTCAGATACGATACGACCACTGAGTTAATAAGGGCCCTCGAAGACGTAACCAAAAAAAGTCTAGAGATTAAAACCGCCGAAGCAAAGAACGAGGCATACTGGTGGACAGATCAGATCAGTGAACCACGGAAGGTTGCCATCAGAGCCCGACGTACGTTCACAAGACTGAGAAGCAGACTTCAGGCCGAGGACCCCGAGGTAACAGGAGCCCATGAACACTTCGTTGCATGCCAGGAGGTCCTGAACAAGACAATAAATATAGAAAAAAAGAAAGCGTGGAAAACAATATGTGAAGATATAGAGGAGGACATATGGGGACAGGGGTACCAAATAGCGACTAGATTTTCCAGAAGACAAATCCCCCCCTTACAACCCTACAAAGACACAGAAAGTCAAATGGTGCAAGGAACTGTTCCCGGATACACCAAAAAGAGAATCTAGATATAAAGAAGTCGAGGAACAAATACGGGATTTCACGGAAAATAAGTTGAGAGGCCACAGAAGAGATCAAAATAAAAAGAGCAGCCGGACCCGATGGTATCCCACCAGAGGCAGTTAAAATCATCGCAAGCAACAGGCCACAGCTAGTGCTAGAGCTGTTTAACAAACTGCTGAGGAATCAAACTTTCCCAACACAATGGAAGGAAGCGGTGGTACTATTAATATGGAAGGGAAAACCAGAGAGGGTGGCATCATCCTACAGACCGCTATGTCTCCTAAATACGTTTGGAAAACTGCTGGAAAAACTCCTAGAGAGGAGGCTGGAAAAGGAGATATAAGAGAAGGGGGGATGTCACCCTCACAGTTTGGCTTTAGAAAAGGTCTATCCACGGTGAAGGCGGTGGAAAAAGTCCTAAGCACGGTAAGGGAGACAAGATCGAAATGGGTGGTGATGGTCGCGTTAGATGTTAAAAACGCTTTTAACAGCGCATCATGGGACAAGATATTGAACAAGCTCGAAGAAAGAAATATTTCTAGATATATAATAAACATGATGGACAGCTACCTAAGCAACCGAAATATCAAGGTAGAAAATGTGAGCATAAACACAAATATGGGGTGCCACAGGGATCGGTACTTGGACCGACACTGTGGAACCTCCTCTATGACGACGTACTAAGGCTGCAACTTGGGGAGCACGTAAGACTCATCGCCTACGCGGGCGACATAGTCATGATCATAGACGCTAATCACACAGAAGAGATAAACCACCTGATAACGATGGCAGCGGATGCGGTAGGGAGATGGATGGAGGAAAACGAACTCCAACTAGCACCGGAGAAAACTGAACTGGTCATCCTAAAAGGTCATTGCAATAAAAAGAAACAAATAGTTGCGGAAATCATGGGAAACCAGATTCAGCCTAGCAAGACTCTGAAATACTTGGGGGTAGTCATAGGACAAGGCACGACCTTTGGGCAACACATCAGCTATGTCTCAGGGAAAGCAGAGAAAACCATAGCGGCATTAATGGGGATTACAAGGAATATAGGAGGGCCCAGTAGCCAGACAAGAACACTTTTGTACGGAGTGGTCCAATCAATTATCCTATATGTCAGTCCAGTATGGGCAGACTAGACAAAGTATCAAAAACACGAAAACAGGCTGATAAGAACGCAACGAAAAGCACTGCTGCGAGTAGCAATGGCGTACAGGACGACGTCGGCGAAAGCCATTCAAGTAATAACAGGGGTACCACCCATTAATTTGCTGGTAATGGAAATACAAAGACTATACAATACACGGATTTGGCAAAGAGGGAGGAAAGAGAGACAACATACTCTGAGTGGCAAGTACAATGAGAAACCCAAGGGACGACGGGAGAATGGACTGGGACACTGATAAAAAATATAAAAACATGGACATAATAAAGCTTTAGGCGCACAGACTACTGCTTTACGCAGATCCTGTCAGGACACGGCACTTTTGGTAGTTACACTAAAAAAATCAAAAAAACAGAAAGCGACACATGTATATACTGCGACGAAAGTGACAACCCAAGACACACCGTGTTTGAATGTGTCAGATGGACTGCACAAAGAACGCAAATAAAGAGGAATGGGATGCGGTACACAATTATATAAAAGAAATAATGAACAACAACAAAAAAAAAGGATAATAAAGAGATAAGGATAAGACGATGAAAACGATAGATCCACTGGCATAATGTTGGACATCTCCAAAGATATATCCGTTATGTCAGGATGGCACAACAGGGGTGGTTTTAGTGGGTAAACCGGGACCTGCACAAATGAGCCGGGAGTCCCACACTATTGTCGAACGGTAGAACCAGTAGACAGTGTGCGTAAAGCATTTCCACCCGTCAAAAAAAAAAGGTTAGGTTAGCTTAGGTTAGGTTAGGTTAGGTTAAGTTAGGTTAGGTTAGGTTAGGTTAGGTTAAGTTAGGTTAGGTTAGGTTAGGTTAGGTTAGGTTAGGTTAGGTTAGATTAGATTAGGTTATGTTATGTTAGGTTAGGTTAGGTTAGGTTAGGTTAGGTTAGGTTAGGTTAGGTTAGGTTAGGTTAGGTTAGGTTAGGTTAGGTTAGGTTAGGTTAGGTTAGGTTAGGTTAGGTTAGGTTAGGTTAGGTTAGGTTAGGTTAGGTTAGGTTAGGTTAGGTTAGGTTAGGTTAGGTTAGGTTAGGTTAGGTTAGGTTAGGTTAGGTTAGGTTAGGTTAGGTTAGGTTAGGTTAGGTTAGGTTAGGTTAGGTTAGGTTAGGTTAGGTTAGGTTAGGTTAGGTTAGGTTAGGTTAGGTTAGGTTAGGTTAGGTTAGGTTAGGTTAGGTTAGGTTAGGTTAGGTTAGGTTAGGTTAGGTTAGGTTAGGTTAGGTTAGGTTAGGTTAGGTTAGGTTAGGTTAGGTTAGGTTAGGTTCGGTACCTCTATGAATCTGGCGACTGAAAATTAGCTTTTACAATTTTTTTATAAACTAATCATTTGTTCGTCAAAAATTGTTATTTGTTCGAATATTGTTTATTCTTTAAAAAATAAAATAATTTTTTTTAATAAGTTGGCGCAATATGCCTTAGATTCGAGATACTTTTTTTTCATTCAACAGATTAATTTTTTTTGTTTGTTCGATCAGTGCAACTGTTTGTTTGACTATCTTTATATTTTTAATAAATTTTTTTAAGTTTATTTTTAATTTTAATATGCATAGCGCATGCGCCAACAAAATAAACTGTTATTCGACATCTGTGATGTATTGTTTGGTTATGTGCTCCGATCCAGTAAATTATATTATTTAAAAAAAAAAAGGAAAAATCAACGCCAACTTTCAGTAATTAGTGAGTAGCCAATAATAAAAATCGCTGGTAGACTAGCTCGACTAGCTCTTCCTTGAAAATAGGAATAATGTTATTGTAGGATACGATTTTGATTCTAGAAATCTCAAGAAATTTAACAGCCGTTATTTATACAAACGGTGCCTTTTTATTGTTTAGTAATTCAATTTATTTTTTTAGATTGTAATTGTTAATTTAAATGGGGCCTAAGGCAATAGTCACTGTTGAAGCTGCAGTAAATGTTTTGAAAAAACATATAAAACATTTCATTCCGCCAGGAAAACTAAAGTGGTCTTGTAGCATTTGGCAAACACTTTCGGAAGAGTTAGACTATAAGTGGGACAAAAACGCTGTACGTACTAATGTTAATAATCGAAGAAACATCTTGACAATAGCTTTGATGGAATGTGGGTATTTTACTGACGAAGTAAAGACAAAATTAAATATTTATGATAATGAAAGTGAAAACATTCGATTTTAGTAGTAGCATTGGTAGTAGTGATGATGACAATAAAATTAATGATCCCGATTACTGCGACTATTCAGCG